ACAATAACACACAAATCCAGAACATAAATTAAATTTATATAGTAGAATAAAGTTTCACCCTCTTCCTACAAACTTGTCGTCACTCGTGCCACTACAAACCATGAGCCTCTGACGCTCACCAACAATTAGGCAAAACCACCAAAGCCATCAAACACACTCATACACACTGACTAGTCTCTCAATCCAAAGACAGAGTTAAGACCCACAAATCATAAGCTCTCAAATTTGAAAATTCTGTTCAAAATTCGAATGTTTAGGAAGTTTTGACAAGAAGTTGTAGATCAAGCTTCAATCTTCCCTAAAAGAAGAAATCTGAATAAAGATGTGAAATCAATAATAAGACCACTGATTCTGGAGGGTCGCCCAGAAAGAACTCGATTGTAGTCCAAGTTGATGTTTGGATAAGCAAGGTCGAATAAGAGAGAAAGAGGGGAGGGAGAGGGGATGAGGGGTAGTATGTGAATTCTTAATTCTATCAGAAATTATGCAATCTCCCGCATTGTAGTCAATTCATGATATCTATAGATTTAACGTAATGTCTAAAATTTATTTATATATATTACCATACATATGGGTACGGATGTAAATTAACAAGTATCAACNATTAAAAAAAAAAAAAAAAGCTTTGTTTCGAAATGGAGTGGACACAACCATCATCAGATACTATTTTAAGTCGATAGGATGTGTAAGGAATTAAGGATGATTAGTTTATTTAATCATATTGATAATATTGAAGGTAGTGATGTTTTGTTAAATATTAAAATTGAGTTAGATCTTGGATTGAGATTAAATATTTTTTGGTTATTTTTTAAAAACAAGCAAGCATTTTAATATTTGCTTATAGAAAATTTAGAATTAAAATACTACACATACATAATAATTATGTCCATCTAAATAAAATATCCAAGTCTAATTTCATAATAAACCCCTACCCAAGCCAACTAAAGCCTAATAAAGGTACTAAGGTAGCAACACTATTGGTTTATCTTCAGGAATCACCTTTCCATACGTGTTCACATCCCATTGGTTTATCAACCACCGTCCCCCACTCATAGACGCTTTCGGCTTTTGTTCAAAACTTTATAAAATAAATATCTCGCACAAAGAGGAAAAACGCAAGAGAGACCTCAACAAACGCCATGGCTTCACGCTTTACCTTACTCTTCCTTTTCTCCCTCCTCATCGCGACGTCGTTTACCTACTCCGACGCCGATGCAGACGCCGACGCGGTCGGAGGCGCCGCCGACAGCGGCGATCTTCTGATTCGGCAGGTGGTGGATCACGGCGAGGATTTGGGGGCCGTTGACGAGAACACGCTGCTGAACGCCGACCACCACTTCGCGATCTTCAAGAGGAAATTCGGAAAGTCGTACGCCACGCAGGAGGAGCACGACCGCAGGTTCGGGATCTTCAAGGCTAACTTGCGCCGCGCGTGGCGGCACCAGAAGCTCGACCCCACCGCCGTCCACGGCGTCACGCGATTCTCCGATCTGACGCCGAGCGAATTCAGCCGCCAATTCCTTGGCCTCAACAGGCGGCTCCGCCTCCCTTCCGACGCTAATAAGGCGCCGATTTTGCCGACCAATGATCTGCCGGCCGATTTCGACTGGAGAGAACGTGGTGCTGTCGCACCGGTGAAAAATCAGGTATATATATATATGGATTTTAGATATTTTGGCAATTTCAATGGAGATTAGTATTGACATAGCATCTGGTGAAGGTGTATTTTTATTCTTCTGTATTTGATGTTGGATTTATCGAGCTTTGCTTAACTTCCGTGGTTATGTTTGCTGTACCATATTTTAGCCCCAAAAATTACAATATCTAGAAGTCCATTGTCGTCTGGCTCAGCTTATTTCTCTGTCTTTAATCCAATAGAACGTGGCATAATGTATATTAACATAACTGATAAAAGGCACCATAAACATCTATGTTACTTTTACTGTGAGTAGTGTCATGAATCATGATTCATGATGAATGCAAGTTTTATTTGGTCGTGTGTCAATGAAATCATCTATAGGAGTTGATTGTGACCTTTCCAATGAAAATCTGGTGACATAGTACCTGACATAATGAAAGTATTTTCTTATATAATACTTTATCAATGTTTTATCTTACGTTTGAACTATATCCAGTGGTTGCTTAAAAATATAAATATGTATAAATTGAAACCATGAGATGTCGATGTTATGCGTTTAGTGGTTTCTAAAAGCACATAGTAATAATATGCAATTTCTAAATGACTTTTCAGGGTTCTTGTGGATCATGCTGGTCGTTTAGCACAACAGGAGCTCTGGAAGGTGCAAATTTCCTGGCAACAGGAAAGCTTGAGAGCCTCAGCGAGCAACAGCTTGTGGATTGTGATCATGAGGTTTAGATACTCCACCTTCACTTCTTTTATTTCATACTGCAATTTGTTATATATATGCATGTCAGGCTCTTAGCATCGTTATCTGTTTTATGTTAATAGTTAATTTCAACATTTCAAGACTTTTAAGTATTATTAACCCTAGTGTGTTACTGATAGCTGATACAGTTATAGCTGCAATAAATATTTGATAAGGTTAGTACCATTAATTTCTGTATAATCATACCAATCTTAACCCAGCAGTTTTTATCGTACCAGACAATGATACCTTATTACAGTTCCTAGCTTTCTACTCATATTCAATTCCTTCTTGTCAGAAATGAGTGTTTTGATCAATTTCTTCACACTCATTGGCAAACTAGTGTGTTTTGATTAAGTGTAAGAGCAGTTATGTTGCATCTGGTGTTTCTTGTTCTTTTTTCGTTCCTTGAAGGCCATCCCCATTATATTTGATTTCTACTACTGGAGTATACTACTATGATTTTTGAAACAAAAATATTAAAAAACGAACTAGTACACTATGTTGTGGCATTTAATGAGCTTTCATTCCTTAGTGTGATCCCGAAGAAAAGGATTCGTGTGATTCTGGCTGCAATGGGGGACTGATGAATAGTGCTTTCGAGTACACACTCAAGTCTGGTGGACTAATGCGAGAGAAAGACTATCCTTACACCGGCACTGATCGTGGGGCTTGCAAGTTTGACAAGTCTAAAATTGCTGCAAAGGTTGCTAACTTTAGCGTCGTTTCCCTTGATGAAGATCAAATCGCTGCAAATCTCGTCAAGAATGGTCCTCTTGCTGGTATCTACTCTCTTTCTTATGTTTGGTAACCAAATAAGCTAGCTTATAGCTTAGTTAGCTTATAAGCTTCCTATATTCACATAAGTTTCGTTTGGTAGGACGAACTTTTTTAAAAACTCGAGCTTATCTCATAAGATCCTTTGGTTAGTTTTTCAAATAAGGTCATTGAAATTTTTATTTCAGCTAGTTTATCAGCTAATTTTACTAAACACTTTTATCATATAAGCTAGCTTTTCAGCTAATTTTACTAAACACTTTTATCATATAAGCTAGCTTTTCAGCTATAAGTCATAAGATATAAGCTCAATAATCACTTAGAAGCTATAAACTAGCTTATTCTTCAACTCTATCATAAATTTCTTTACATTTCATCTCCTTCATGTAGATAATTGTATTATATTCACTTGTCATCTATGGATTAGTTGGTTAAATTTCTGTTATAAAACAGGCGTGCTCATTGATACAGTAATTTCATTCATTTTCTCTGGTGCAGTGGCTATCAATGCAGTTTTTATGCAGACGTACGTGAAAGGAGTCTCTTGCCCATACATTTGCTCCAAGAGATTGGACCATGGAGTATTGCTCGTTGGTTATGGGGAATCTGGGTATGCACCTATCAGGATGAAGGATAAGCCGTATTGGATTATTAAAAATTCGTGGGGTGAAAATTGGGGAGAAAATGGCTACTACAAAATCTGTCGGGGCCGGAATGTTTGTGGAGTGGACTCTATGGTTTCAACCGTTGCAGCTGTTAGTACTTCTCATTGAACTATTTAAGCCACTGAAATTGCACCCACCTCATCAATGTACATAGGGAGGTGTTCACCGTGTTTTATCATGGTTATGTGAACTATGTTTATTGTGTGCTGTTTTAAGACTAATTCCAGGTGTTTTCACTTTTCCCTGTCAAGAGAGTCAAATTCTCGTTATTTATTATGGTATGCTGAAAATCGAAGTCTCGTTACTCATATCATAATGAAAGGTTTTACTGTCTTACTGTGCTTGAGATATGTTGCCTATTTTTATCTCGCTCGAATATAATTTCCAAGTTATCTCACTAGATTATGTAATGTCTGAGAACACTTGTTACTATTTCCCGAATACGTTTATGTTTTCCCAGTTATTATATATGTGAAAGACATCTCAGGAGCTTATATCAAAGGGCAGATAATAAAATATAAAGGAAACAAGGTTACAAGCACAATCCTCACAAAATAAATACAAATTCAATTGTTTATTTATTTACTCAACACAAAGCAGAAGTGTATCAATAATTATTTTTTGCTTACAAATACAAAGATATGCGTGCTATCCTGGATAATATAATAAAGATAATATGTGTATAAATAAATTACAATGTAGCTGTCAAACAAATTTCACAAGTGCAGGACCTCATATAATCCTGCTTATTAAGGGAAGAAGGAAAAAAAATGGGCGCTCCACTTACAACTCGAATCATAACAAATTTGCAGCCAATGCATTGGCATCATACAAAAGAATAACGAGACAACCACATATTCAAGCCAGAAGTCAAACCATTCAAATCTTTTTATTTTATAGTTTAGAGGTCAACTCATTCCTCCTCGTGATCGAGCAAAGCAAATGTAAATGGATAAAACTTGTACCCATCTCCCTCGTAGAACTTGTTCTGGAACTCCACCCAATGAAGCCTTAACGCGTGCAAAAAGGCACTAAGAGTTTCCATCACCAGCAAGACTCCAACAGTCGCGCAAATGAAGATTATGATGCCGACAATAAGGATAACTACATTGTTGTACCTGTACACGAGAAAATTGATCATCTATTTGGATCTTTTGTAATTGAAGGGAAGGAGACAAGTATTGAAAAGCATGAATATCCACATGTCATTAAGTGAATGTTTTTCGGTGAAATATTTCAAACTTACCCCCATGCAAGAAGAAGGACCTTCTCGTAGAACACACTGGATAACTCCGAGTGGGCAAGGCTGAGAGATCAAATGACAAGAAAACGATTAAGAAACTTAAGGGCTTATTTGTATACAAATAAAATAGTTTTTTACTGGTTTTTTTGGTTAACCATGGTTAGTTTTGAAAAAGTTGGTTTGGTTAGTTTTTAGTGGGATATTAAAATAATATTTAAAATTATTATATTGATGGTTGGATGTAAAAGTAGGAAAGAGATTATGAGATGTCATAGGTAGTTAAAATTATGTGAGCGATAGAATAGTGAATTTAAGTTGATGTGATGTGTAAGGATGATTGATTGATATTATTTAATTATATTGATAATATTGAGAATAATGGAGTTGAGTTAGATTTGGAATTGAGATTGGATTTTTTGTTGGTAAATTAATGAACAAACAAACCCTAAGCATCTTCCAAACATTTTGATATTGTGGTTTAGTAAACTATAAAGAAAAGTTCTCTTTCTTTTAGAAAGGAAAAAGGGCAAGCCACACTAGGATATTCCACATGAGTTTCGACTAATGGTATATATCAATAATGAAGTTCATAAATATCGAAGCAAATTTTTGGTGTTCGAAGTACACACAGCCATAAATTTCAAATTAAAATTTTTCTAGAATATATGATTGCTTCAACTTCTGCTTTAAAAGACTCGGAAGAGTGCACCAAAATAGATCTGGTGATCTAAAGTCAAACTAATATTAGTATGGAAAGCTTAAATAAAATTTGTGAATGCACATACCTGAGAGCCCATAAACGAAGATAAGAAGCTGTATTTGAAACTGCCCCAAGCACAAATTCAATTGTGTGTATCAACTGATGCACAAAAACTTCACTGAATTCGAACTCCTCATGACCATGTGAATCGTTATTTGCTCCCGACGACAAAGACTCGTCTGTATCTGCGAGGAGTTCGTAGGACTCTCCATGGTGCCTCTGAAAAATCATGGAGAAAGTGAAAGGTGCTAAATACAAAAATAGGTTAATCACAAAAAGTACCCCTAAGGTTCACATAATTACAAAGACCTCCAGTTAATTTACAAAATCATTTATCTACCCCACCCCAATAACAAAAGGAAAGGGAGAAAAAGACTCCCTTTACATAATGAAATATTCAAAAGAGAGACAAATGTATATTGGAAATTGTAATTTTGAAAAATAAACCATCTTCCATAATTAGGTCAAAATTCTTTTGAAACTGCATACATACATTGTGTTGCATCTTCAAAAGGAAAGGCTTCGGGAGCAGCATCCACGGGACAGAGACAAGGGCCAAAAGTAATAACACAAGCTGTACATATGAAGAAAATGTGAACTTGTATTAAACTGGAAAGCTATCATTGCATAGAAAAAAAAAAAATAGACACAAGAAAAGAAAAGATAATGCTTCTCCATCAACTACTCAACCTGAGCCATCTTTTGACCAGGGAAAAGCTGGTTTTCACCAAGCTCATCAGTAGGACTCAGGAACATGTAGATCATCACATGATATAAATCAGCTTTGGATCCAGTGCACCATTTAACGATAATAAGGACCGAAAGGTAGCCGAATAGAGCATTTAAAAATATCATCTGTGGAATAAATTGGAACCTGGAAGAGCATAATAGCAGCACAAGCAGATACGACAGTGAAAATGTATGATGTTGTGATTGGACTGTTTCCAAATGATTAGAGCAGTTGATAAATCGAATGGTATTTCCAGATGCAAATAATCTTATCAGAAGGGAAAAGAAAATTCATGGATTTTCAATTACCTTGAATCTGTGAAAATCTCTTGTCCAAACAAATAATTATAAAATTTCACAATTTCTATTAGTAAACAGTAGAAATCTAGCAGTACATTTTTTGCAAGTAAATGTGAACTGTTTTATGTGTAAATGAGAGAGAGATAGAGAGACTCTACATTGTAATTGCACACGTAAGAACTAGAAGGATTAATCTCAAAGAATAACGTTTAAGAAAGAGTTTCAACCACCCCAAAAAAAAAGAATAAAAATTGAGAAGTGTTCTAAATCCGTTGATTTCAATATCTTTGCCAAAATTTTTGGGGATTCAACAATGGACTTCAAAAACCTTCACCCCCAAAGTTCCTCCTCAAATCTCTCAATCCAAATGGATCCTAAGTCTACCAGTAGAAGACCTATCAGAAACAAACGTACAGAAACATCAACTTACCATGTATTTATGCTATTCTTGAAGAACTGAGCATTAAAATAGCTCAATATTATTCCCAGGTTCATCTGGGCAACTCCAAGTAGGATTGACATTTTCATTTTTAGTGAGTTAAGGAATGGAAGCTCACTGCGTGTACCATGCCATGCAGGATCCACTCCAAATGGGTAAGTGTCACGTGCCTTGATCAAGCCCACAGTAGTAGCATCCCTGCAGTATAAAAGAGATATTATATGAAGATGAGCTCATGAAACAAATATTAAAAGATTCCAGAGTATATGAGGTACCTGCAAGCTGGATCACGACATACATATGCTGAAGGAGCAAACAATTCAAATGGCACAGAAAAAAACTCGTTATAGATCAACCCAGTGTAAATTGAGAATAGGGACATCAACAAAATTACGTAACGCCCTCCGAAGGTCATTTCCATGATGTCACCAAGTTTCTGCATCAATAGATAGCAATTCAATGATATGAAAATGTTAAAGGCATAACGTTAAGGTAACAGCAGCCAAGAAATAGTAGAGTGCAAGCTAAACAAAGGGTCATTTCAGCAAAATTCTGCAACTAACAACTACAAACATCATTTTAAATAATGGTAGAAACCAAATAATGGCACATTTGACAAGGTAAAAAGAAAGCCAAATGAAACACCTGAATTGCTATATTTGCAGGAGAACGGCAAAGCACACAAGAATGACCAAACAGATATAGAACACACTTACAGCTGCTAACAAACTGATGAAAGAAAGAAGAACCCTATAGAAATTACCTGACTGGAGAGCTTTTTCTCCCTAACAATAAAAAATAATGTAGCAAGCAGAAGGCATATGCCATGTCCCCAGTCTCCAAACATGACAGCAAAAAGAAATGGAAATGTGACAATAGTGAATACGCCAGGGTTTGCTTCTTGATATTTAGCCACTCTGTCATGAAAAATCATATCAACGATTATACATTCACAAATTTATGAACTCTATAATTGTAGGACCAAGGTTGTCACCTAGCGCATAAATTGACACGTGATAAGGTATTGCATAAAATACTTGAGGTTATAGGATTCAAAACTGATGAATCCTAATAAGATAGAATAAGGTACATGGTGGTTATATGAAGTCCACTCGGTCTCAAACACAAAATGCATTAATTCATGATTTCAAAGTTAAATCGTATTCAATAAGTGTCATGCAGCATCTCTTCAGAGACCGGGACATTTTCCCGGGATACTTTAGATCTTGTAAGTACCAATACAATGAACACTAATAAAGGAAAAAAAAAAAAAAAAAATNAAAAAAAAAAAAAAAAAAGTTAATCAACTTACAACATTTTATTGTAGATTGAAACCACAGGAAAGCAAGAGATTCAATGCTTGCAAGTAAGGTCAACTTTAAGAATTTTGATTTCAGATAAGAGTCAAATTGCTTAGGTGTCATTTGACCAGATCAATGACGGTGGCATTCCCTCTTAACATGTTTCTCGTCAAGTCAATCTTTTACAGTGAACTTACGACTACAACTTACTAAAAGGATTAGCCACGTTAATCTGCAAACTCACCCATAAGCATCGACTATCTCTTGAAAAGCTGAAGTGAATTTGTTAGTTCTAAAATAGGTTGGCGGCATCTCGCGTGTACGCAGGACTTGGAAAATCGCGTCAACCTGTGAGTTGGAGTCGAGGGTTGCCTTATGTAAGGCACCCTGGATCTGCAATAACAAAAATTTTCACGAAACGCCTGAATTCCCATGACTGGAATTTTTTAAAAAGATGCTAAAAAAACTAAGAAATCCAATTACAGTGTTACAAAACATTTACCTCCTTCGTCGCAAACACAGGACTCCATCCTTCTGCAACAAGACATTTCTTGGTGACATCAATGCTAAGCATATTCAGGGTATGGTAAATGGCTTTCTCCTTCCTCACCTTTATCAAAGCATATCAGAGATGCATATTAATGAAAAAAACACTAATCAGTAAGGACCATAAAGTATTCGTAACACA